ACACCAGCGTTCATAGGCTTGAAATTAGAGCATGCACCGTCTACTACGACCTTGATGCTCCGATCAGCAAGGAAACTGGTGATCCATTTGCACAATTTCTCGGGAAGCCCATAGGAAGGAAATTTATTCGCTTCTGTAGAAATTAATGAAATAAAGTTCAAAAATTTTATTCAAAATTGTATTTTATTTATAAAAGACATCTTAAGACTATGGTAACATTTTTATAGTGTTTCTTATTTATAAAAAATACTGAATACATTTATTTCTCGTAACACTTTCGGTTGTGATGTTCGGTGAGCTTAAAGAAACACAATAACTCCTATTTCTTGTTTGCGACCAATTTGAATAGTGGCTAACCTATTAATAAAAAATACCAAATATATAGGGTTATTTTTCAAAGTGTAGCCAAATTTTAAACTTAAGTTCAAATATATAAATAATGATACACCGTTATTGCAGTTTTTGAAAATACGCGTAAATAAGGCTTCTACATTTATTTGAAATTATCCCAAATTTAATGTGATTTATGGGCAACAACGTTTTTGCCTATCGATTGACCCTTAAAAATGTGTGCGTGCACTGTAAAATCAGTTGAAATAATGCACTACCATTTATTCGAATTTAAAAGATAAAAAGGACAGAATGTTTGAGATTTGTTTATTTAAATATTGTTCACCATTTGCCTATATTACTTATTCTGTACCTTCTCTGCACATTGACCGGTTATTGCAAAATAACCCTGTATTTCTCGTAACACGGTTTTGCTTGTGATGCTTAGTGAACAAGAAAGAATAACCTCTTTTTCCGTTTGCGACCAAGTTGAATACTGGTTAACTTATTAATAAAAAAATACTGAATATATTTCCCTTAACACCGTTTTGTTTGTGATGTTTTGTGAGCTTATGAAAACACAATAACTCCTTTTTTCCCGATTGCGACCAATTTGAATAGTGGTTAGCCTATCTTACTCTTTGACTTCTGGCTTCTGCTTTCGAACTAAATCGACATCTATTTATAAAAATAGTTTTTATAAACAACACATAAAATTATTGTTTTTGGTTTATTTTATGGCGATTCGGCCCGGCTTCTATTAATGATAATCGAAGACTATTTTAACAAAATTTGTTTTAAAAAAAAATACTTTTTGGGATAAAACATAGCCTAGATTTTTCCTGGCATTGGCTCTCTATCTGTTCGTAAAGGTTAGCCCGGACAGACAGGCAAACAGACGAACAAAAATGAAATATTGTTTTATTTATGCCCTAATAACATTCTAATAACCCCCAGATTTTCATAGAAACCAGTTATTTCAACATTACAAACAGACCTTTCAACTTTATTTATAAATATATGTATAGGTTAGCTTTATGCTTATGGCATTACGTTTAATAATTGGCGATGTAATCCGTTTATTATTTATTTTGTTATATCACAGTATATATCATAGTGCTATACGTCGTTATCTATACTAATAAATAAAATTGAAGTGTCTGTTTGTAATGTCAAGATAACAGCTTTTTACTAAATGCATATGAAAGTAAATGCGGTACTTATAACTAAAATACAATTTCTTCAATATTTGTTTGTCTCTCTGTCTGTGTCGGCTGGACCGATTTTGACGGAATTTTCACTGGCAGACAGTTGATGTCATAAGGAGTAACTTAGGCTACTTTTATTTTAGAAAAATAATTAGGATTCCGCACATAAAAATAAAAACCCTAACCGCGGGCGAAGTCGCGGGGTACAGCTAGTATGTAATAAAAATGTTAGAAAGACTTAACGTTTTCTGAATGTGATTGTGTAAGCATTTTGTAAATGTACTATTTCAAACATTTAATTTGATTCTAAAGAGAAAAGGAATATATTGTGTTTCTTTTATGTAAATACTAAACGACACTAAACGAAATGATTAAAATTTGTGATATCTTGGTATACTAGACCTACGATGGCTTAAGCAAAGTCACAACAACTTCCTTAGTCCTTGTAGGCCTTCCTAGTCTTAGGCCGGCGCCAGATATACTAACAACATTTGAACACTTATTTGAAGGACTTTACACACTTGTTTGAACACTTATTTGAAGGACTTTACACACTTGTTTGAACACTTATTTGAAGGACTTTACACACTTGTTTGAACACTTATTGGCGCAACCTGCCAGCCTGCTTTGCAAACAAATCTTGTTTGTCGTTTATCAACCGACTGTGGAGAGATGTGTTTGCAAAGTAGTATGGCAGGTTGCGCCAATAACTGTTCAAACAAGTCTGCAGAGTCCTTCAAATAAGTGTTCAAATGTTCAAAGCTGTATCTGGCGACGGTGTTACGCTAGCATGTACATAGATTACCTTAGCTCACAACGCTATTATTAAATATGTTTAAATCAACTTTAGAACATATCGATTTATATTATCTACATAATATACAAACAAAAGGATTATTAGCACATTTAATTATTCAAGTACAAATTATTAACAATTCAGAGTCGGTAAAAAAAAGATTCAAAATTCTCTTAAACGTACAAATAAATAAAGCACATTCTAGGATTATGCAAACATGACAGAAATTTAGCTATACTTTAGACGGAAGTTTTTAAGTTCTAACTGTCACTAAAAATACAAAATAGAAGTAAAATTTATTGTTCTCATATATAAAAATTACTGTTTGTTTGATTGTATTTTATGCGCTGCATACCCTTCCCAGATTGCGGTAAAACTTTGTCTAGTTATTGCTGGCACTTGCGCGAAGGTTATAGGCATAGTACAATTAATATAAAATAGGTGGCGCGTGTATATATCATTATCATTATCGTTCCTAATTAAATAATATAATTCTTCCAAATTTGAAACGATATTTCCAGAATTATTTCTTCTGCGGCAGCAACGCGCCGGGTACCAGCTAGTAGATTATAAAAGGTATACAAGTAAACGTGGCACAAAAAGTCCACGATGCCCCCATTGTCGTTCCGGCTGCCAAGTGTGCCTTATACTGGAGAACCCCACTCCTATCAACAGAATAATCTACAGACCTAGAAAGAAGATTGAAAAATAACAGGTACTTACAGAGTAACAATTTACCTTTATACATATAAAATTATCCACATAGCAGATAGGCTTTGAACTATATGCGTTTTAAACATATTTTGACTTCATTATCAAGTAACAAAAAATATCAAGTATTATAATAAAATCATAAATTTAAAACAAGCAAATTGCAACAAAGATGGATACAATAGAAGAAAAATGTCTAAAAATAAATTTGTAAGTTACCTACTTAATAGATATTATTTTAAGATATATAGAGATATTATTGTAAGAGAATAAAATATATGTCATGCTGTGGATATCGTAAGGGACGACAGAGGGAAAAGAAAGAGGAGATGGGTAACATCTTCCAGATAACGACCCCGAATAAAAGCAGCAGTTGCCAACCCGACTGCCAAGCGTGTTGACTACAACAAATATCCCTCCTTTGCGGAAATGTTTGGGGAAGTCCTATTTATTTATTATTAGGTTATTCAAAATAATTAAAGTCGGCTCCACACAATGTACACACTTCTTCTTCTTCTCAAAGTGCCATCTTCTTTCGAAGGTCGGCGATCATTAAGGCAACTTGAATCTTTGATGCCGCGGCTCTGAATAAGGAACGGGTGCTCTTTCCAAACCATTGGCGTAGGTTTTTCAGCCAAGATGTTCTTCTTCGACCCACACTTCATTTTCCTTGGATCTTGCCCTGTATGATGTTAGTTGTAGTAAATCGTATTTTCGGTTTCTCATTATGTGGCCGAGATATTCAAGCTTTCTTTTCTTTACTAAATATACAACTTCCGGGCTTTTCTTTATGCGGCTTAGCACGGTTACGTTCTTTATTTTGTCTCTCCAGGATATCCTTAACATTCTTCTGTATACCCACATTTCGAAGGCTTCAATCTTCTTACAGCTCGATTGTGTGAGAGTCCATGCTTCAACGCCATACAAAAGAATGGGGAAATCATAACATCGTGCTAATCGTACTCGTATCTGGATGTTCTGCTTTTTATTGCACAGAAGTGACTAGCTTAAAGAAAGCATTACGGGCTTGTTCTATGCGGCACCTTATTTCAAGACTGTGTTCTCCCGTATCATCGACCCAACATCCCAAATATTTGAATTTGCTAACTTTTTGTAGAGTCTGTCCATTACATAGTAGAGAAGGGTTAGCAGGTGGTATTTTACAAACTGTCGTATATTTGGTTTTCCTGGTGTTGATACTGAGGCCATACGCTGAACTAACAGATTGAATGTTATCTATAAGGATCTGAAGTTCTTCCATTGTAGATGCAATAAGTACAGTGTCATCGGCATAACGGATATTGTTAATAATCTGACCATTCACTGTGATACCTACATCCACCCGATCCAATGCTCCACGGAAAATCATCTCTGAGTAAACGTTGAAGAGAATTGGCGAAAGAATACATCCCTGCCGTACTCCACGTAAGATTTCCGAGTCATCTGTTAGTTTGCCCTCTATACGAACATTCGCCGATTGGTTCCAACATAGGTGTTTAATGAACCTTACGTCCTTAGAGTCGAGTCCGATGGATTGTAATATATCAATCATTCTTGCATGATGTACTCTATCAAATGCTTTCTCATAATCGATAAAGCATACAAACACATCTTGATTTATGTCCCAGCATCTCTGTATTAAAACTTGATACCCGAAAAGTGCATCTCTCGTTCCCAGGCCATTGATAAACCTAAACTGTGTTCTTGAAATGAGGTCTTCACATTTGCTATAAATTCTTTTATGAATTACTTTAAGGAATAATTTTAGGATATAACTCATTAAGGGGATTGTTCTATATTCGCTGCATTTCTTCGCAAAAGCAACTGTACACACAAATGTACACACACTAAACAATTAAAATAAATATATACTTAAGTGTTGTCTTTCCTGGTTTGCTTACTTAACTATTTTTAAATTGTACCTAAACTAATTTAGCCTATTGTAATGTGTTCTGTCAAGCCCAGTACGGCCACGGTCGGGCGCTGTGTCTTGACTCGCTAGCTGTCAGGACGTTGGATACGCCTTCATTAACCGGAGGATACGGCTCCTGCAACAAAAAATGAGTAATTTCTTAACAACTGCTTACCGTGATGTGACGGTGTAAGAATTTCAAGTATATTCTCCTTGGGTGTCGTCAGACGCGACAGAGGGGATTGAAACAGAAAATGGACAGCAGAATATTCCTGATAATAATTTAAAATAATAAAAACTGTGGTTGTCAACCCGTCTGCCAAGCGTGGCAACTATGGCAAACGTCGCCTACTATGAGGGATGTCAAATTTATGGGGGAGGTCCATGTTAACGATAACGTTAACACAACAATAAAAAATATGAAAAATTAAGAGATGGGCAGCAGCATCTTCCTGATAACAACCTAATATTATAAAAACCCGCTTGCCAAGTGTGGCAGCTATGGCAAAATCCTTCTATGGTGCAATCTATCGGAAGAGATGATTGATGATGAGATGAAGAGGGCTGTTATAGATGAATGGACGGATACGAAGCAACACTCGAAACAGTAAAAATATAAAACTAAATAACCAAGCAAATCAAGGTTATTCATATTCATATTATTTATTACATCCATAATGTTACAGTTGGTGTTACAGGTGTTGAGAACATTTTAAAACTAAAACTATGAGATCATTATGGGCCCTGCAGGGCACGGCAATTAAGAGAGAGGAGGGCCATTATAGTGAAGCAATAATGATAAATACACTTTGAAATAAAAATAGAATTGAAATACTAGGTAGATATTTAAACTTTATCATTTAAGTATTTGTTTAGTGTGTAGTAGTGTTTGCAAATTATAAAAATCCTTAATTTTATTTATAAAATTAGTTTCTTTTTCTATATTTTTTATCGAGTGTGTACTTTCCATAATTTTATCTACTGCTGTACTATTGATGCTGTGGATAAGTGACTATAATCTATTCCAGACCGATTTCGGTCATGGCGATCAGTCTCAACGGGGTCGAGTCATCTGCGCAGGACAGGATTAAAGAGGCCGAGTGTATGTGCAAGCACAAATGCACGCCCAATTGCCTCATTCTCATAGTTCAACGGAACGGAAATCAGACATGACCGGAGAGAGATCGGGTGTGGGACCAACGACTTTACGAGTTTTTCGAGGTTCTGGAGAGAAACACCGGCAACTGTTTGACTTCGTTAGCTATTGAGAATTTCTTGACTCAGAATCCCAAAAACCGATTTTGGCCTAATCCGGGATTCGAATCCGTGACTTCATGACCAGCAGTGGCGCTTACGACTACTAGATCAACGAGGCAGTTCAGAATCAAGTAGTAGTCCAGATGATGTATAGCTTGTATCTGGCTCGGAGGACCGGTGTTTTATTATTGTTAGTTTCCGTTGATCATTGATTTATATGTACTACGAGTACGTACTAGAGAAGCCTTTCTAAACAAAAAATGTGCCCCACTCTATGTCTTCGCGCATGCGCGGGAAATAGTAAAGTCATTTCGCATGCGAAGTTGATTTAAGCGCGTTGCGCCTGCGCGGTCAGTTTATATAAAGAAATATATATCTTTTGTAATATTACGATAATTATTACCTATTTATTCACTTGAACAACAAATAATTTTACTTACTTGACTACTGAATTGTTATTTACGTCCAGGTTTAAACTTTAATTTGAAATCTTGTATTATTAGCGTCGGTACACACTGCATGAATATTGAAACCACAGACTAACTAGTAGATTGAAAGCACAGTAAATGATACACTGTACGGATTGCAGTACAGTTCAGTTGAACATAGTGTATATTCGGAATGACCAATCTAGTAAGTAGTACATATTTATCGATGCCGTGGATAATTATATTTTGTATATTCATGTGTTTATATTGTTGCATGTCACAATTAATACCACTAACGCCCTATAGTATCGAGTACCAGAACTAGGAGAGTCAAAAACCTTTTAGAAATTTCCATGGAAGAACTTTCTGGAACTACTTAGTCAATCGGGACCGATATGTACTCGAACATTCTAGATGTTTTTACAGTAGAAGGTTCTGGAAACTATCTGAGGCCCTATATAAGGCCGGTATAGACCGCAACCGAGGCAGTATTGAATTGGCGATATAAGCGAATACTTCGAAGCGATACAACTGCGAACTAAAGTGATCAGTAGTACAATTGTTTTATTATTAGTGTGGTTTAAGTTGTAATTAGTAGTGTAATTATTAAAATGTCAATTTTGGTAATTCACTCGGCAGTTTTTAATTGTCTCGAACCCGAAGCTCGTAACAATATCAAGATTGACGGCAGTTAATTATTACAGAAGATCGAATTTGTGCGTTCCAAAGCTCTAAAATACATCAAAATTTTATATACAAGATTAAATTGATACGTGCGGTTTTTAAAGGATTGATTCTAGTTCATGCGTGAGTTGTATAATTCGAATATTATATAATTAATCGATGTTATTGATATACGCGAATGTTATATAAGTGTTTACATAACATTGATGCGTGCAGATTTTAAAATATAGGTACTGGTGCTTAATTCATTCGTGAGTTGTATTATTTTCGATCCTGAATCCTCTTCGAATCTGCACGTCCGACTCACGTATATAGTGTCCGGGTCTCCGGGCGGTGGGCAGGTGTGGGTGCGGGGGGCGGTACTGACATGCCAGCGCTGCTTGATGAAGTCGGCGGCGCGCTCGGCCAGCATGACGACGGGCGCGTGCGTGTTGCCCGACGGCACGGCCGGCAGCACGCTGGCGTCCGCCACGCGCAGCCGGTCGATGCCTTGCACCTGCACACACAAAACTCCACCTCAGGAAAAGGAAAAGCCACTAGCCAGTTAAAACTAATGAAACAGGTGTAGAGCCACGCTGCATAAAATACCAGCTTAATGCTGCTGTGTTTCGTATGGTGAATGTATGTAGATAACTAGCATTTTATCTTAATCCTCAAGGATCACAATATAACTGCATTTTGATTCTTAATGGAGGATGAACGTAGATATCTATGGGCCACAGAATCCACTTACAAACAGGTGGACTGGGTGCTCTTTTGTCAAAAAACATTAAAATGTTTGTAAAATGTGTTTAATAAGTACATTAAAAGTACGTTCCAAATGCAAATTTTCCCCAGAGGCTGATTTTTAAAGAAAACTACTTTTTACTACATTTTATGGCGCAATATCCTGAAAGTTAATATCGACTCTAATTAATAATTTTTAGTCCATTTTTATAGAATTATCTCATTTCCATGACATTTTAAAGTATTGTTGTTGCTATTTAGCGGTTTCTAAAATTGTAGATAAAGTGATAAAAACACGCAAAGTTGTTGCGCTGCTTGAAGAGGGTTGCAGCCAGTACTTTGTGGCTCAGATGCTAAATGTAAATCGTTCGACAGTACAAAAGGCCTGCAACCGCTATCTAGAGACCGATTCCGTCAAAGAAGGCCTGGTTCTGGCAGAAAGCCAAGTACTGAACTACGGGATGATCGTTTTCTGATGAGTCAACCTCAAAGAAGTAAGAAATGTACAAATTAATCTATGGATGGTAGGGAAGAAGCTTATCGCCGACAATATAGGCAGCCATCGCCCAGCCGCGGCCTTAGATTATTCCGTGAACACCGAGTTGCCAGGCTTATCTTCGCTCAAAATTGTGTCTCAAAAAGATTGGGATAGGGTATTCTTCTCCGATGAAGCCAGGATATCTCTATACGGTGAAGACCGACATCGGGCATAGCTACGAAGATGAGGAGAACGCTTTGTAGAAGCATGTTTTGAAGAAAAAACGGATTCCCCACCATAAGGTGAGTTAAGTAAGAATATAGGTAAACGTCTCATTTTCTCTTATAACTAAACGTTATCAATAAAAACGTAGACGCAAAGATCACTTATGTGCACTGTCTTAACTATAATAAAAATATTACTTTTGACTTAAAATCGACTCGTAGAAGTAACGATATTCTGTATTCACATATTTAAGTTGATTTCAGAGTTTTTTTTTCCGCCGATACAGTACCATATTTTTCTTTCTTACGTGGAATGTCTACATTATCGGCACCTGAGAGTTTTTTTAAATGTCCACCTTTTTGAAGGGTATCATTTCGTCGTATGTTTCTTTTTGTGTATAGGAACCGTGCTCATCCACGCGTATCCATTTAAGTCCATCTCTAAACCTTACTTTTTCATTGTTGACATCTTTTTCCTGTTGATGAAATTAAGTTTCGCACGGAGCTCATCAATTTTTTTTGAAATGTTCGGTCATATCCATCACAGTATTATTACGAAAAGCTTTGCATATCGACGCTTGAAAGACAATAATTACCAAGCGACATGTTGGGCGATATTGAGTTATATATACATCATTGAAATCAGAAAAAATTCTGTGTCGATATCTTATACTCTCACACCGCTAGGAAGAGTTTTGTTGTCGCTTGGTAACTTAAAAAAATCACATTTTCGCAGTCGTCGACCAAGCTACTAAAATTTTTCCGATTAATGAATCATTTTCACTTGGTAGGTATTCGATTTGAACTTTTATAAACTTAGTAATTTTTGTCTTGACTCAAATTAATGCAGTTAAACATAAAATATATTTTTTTACGATATCTAGGACATAAGCATTACTTAAGAAATTTTCCCCTTTTTAATTATGTATTAATTTTCATTTAGTTTTTTTTCTAAATGCAATAGACTTAAAGACGTAATATAGTAGTATTTTTCCAGCCTAAAAAGAATATAATTTGTCGTTTGGTAATATTTTACCTGCCGTTTTCCATTTACTGATTTTGTTACTTAGATAACTATTTCTGATATGAAATTTGTATGAAAATGAGCTTATCCCTGTTGTATGTATTTTGTTTTGTCGCATAGACGCACTGTAAAGCAGATTTTAATGGGTGTTGGTAACAAACTATCGATTAGTCTTTTGGTGAAGACCAATCGAACCTAATATGCCAAACATAGGTATATTATCTATTATCTATACATATAATAAATCTGTAGAAAAGTCGTGTCTGTAATTCTAATATATTCTTGAAAAAACAAGTCCAGGGGACTAAATAAAGGGTTCTGAAGCCAAATTAGTGGTTTTTAGAATTTTTGTCTGTCTGTCTTTTTTTCTGTCTGTCTGTCTGTCTGTCTGTGTATTCCGGATTCACGCAAAAACTACTGAACCGATTTACATGAAATTGTGTATGTAGGTAGTGAGTAACCCGGGGCAACTTATAGACTAATTTTTATCCGATTACGGAACTTCAAAAAAGGAAGGTTAAGTATTTTATTTCCTTTAGATGTTAATTTTCTATTATATCTTGGTTGTAAGTGGGATGACGGGTGTTTTTAAATAAATAACATATTTGTAAATAAAGTTTAAAATATAGTTATAATGTTGGTAAAATAATTTGAAACTACACCGATTGGGTATTCAAAAAAGCGCCATCTATCATCAAATGGAAAAGTAGTATATTTTGCCTTCAGTTACTAATAAATGAAATAATATAAATAACTTGCATGTATATGATTAATAGATTAGATATTTAAAATTATTAAAAAACTCACGTTTAGTTTTTAGTATTTTTGTTATTTTATTTTAAAAGTGTAATAAAAATAAATACCATATTTGTAAATAAAGTTTAAAATATAGTTATAATGTTGGTAAAATAATTTGAAACTACACCGATTGGGTATTCAAAACGGCGCCATCTATCATCAAATGGAAAAAGTAGTATATTTTGCCTTCAGTTACTAATAAATGAAATAATATAAATAACTTGCATGTATATGATTAATAGATTAGATATTTAAAATTATTAAAAAACTCACGTTTAGTTTTATAGTATTTTTGTTATTTTATTTTAAAAGTGTAATAATTTCAATAGATAATAGTGACGTCTATCAAAAATATGAAAATTGATAAGGTATTTATTGCAATTACTAATATATATGTAAAGTATAAATAATAGTAAATATATATATAAACTGGTATGTCTGCAATTGTTGCAAAATTTTCCTTGTCATGAAAGTTTTATTCAAGAGATTTTTATATATGTCGTGACCAGATCGTAGAATTGATCATAGGTATATCATAACGTAGTCTATCATTTCGTGAAGTGGTGTGGTCATTTCATTATATTTAACACTAATTGTTCACCATGTCATGATATAGCTTGACCAAATCAATGAATAGAAATCGTTTGGAGATATTAATAACTAAACACAACGTTGCTATTTCATAATATGACGATATCATTAAATCGTTTTTCACCGCTAGCGGCGCTGATAGCGTATTTTTTAACAGAAACAGAACTTTTAAGGGAATTGACATCACTTTATCCCTTATTGATATTATAAATAAATGTTTGCTTCAATTGCTGATATTACTAGGTGGTATGGTTTTGGCTTTCATTCTTTCATCTAATATTAGCGCCACCTACTTACTTCTAAATAAATTAAAATGGCAAGTCATTGATAAAATGAAATAATACAATGCTACTGAATGTACGATGTAAATAATTGAATCATTTACATTACGTTCATCCCGCGTGGGAATCAGCGCAGCGGACACTTTTTTAGCCAAAACTCTGCGGCCTGTGCCCTTTAGTAACATGTATGTAAGCTGCTATTTTTTTAGTTTTCATAGGGCAATATATGCAGTTTTTATTTCATTCGTGTTTTCGGGTATGTTACTTTTTGTTTTCACTCTACCGTAAATATTAAGGCTTGCAAAGATGAGTAGAACTCAATATCGTCTACCTATCAAAAGTCCACTGAAATGAACATAGGCCTCCCCCATAAATTGTAGCATAAAAGTAGCTGGATATTTGCTATAGTTGCCACGCTTGGTAGGCGGGTTGGCAACCGCAGCTCTTATTATTTTGATTTGTTGTCAAAAAGATGATGCAGCCCATCCCATCTCCAGTTTGTTTTCCTATGTCGCCTCTCACGACAGGACGATATGAGGTGGTGGATTTTCTTTCACCGCCACAACAGGGCGAACATTTTTCTACTCCCGTTCATGAATGTAGTGATCCACACGTTCACTGTGAATAATATTTATAAGAAATAAAACTAATTTTAAGGATTCTATCGCGTTTAATTTTAATTTTTTAAATTCCCGATGTTTTGGGCACTTTACAGCATCCATCGTCACGGGAGGGGCGGGAGAACTGAGGTGTTTGACGTCCTGATGTCGTAGTTAAAATAGAATAGAATAAATGCAGTAGTAGTTTGAATTTAATTTTATTAATTATGGGATCCTTAGCAGATGGTAGCACTCAGCCATCTTCCCTGTTAAAATTAGCATATTTTTAATTTCAATAGCCTCGCGAATCATCATTGGTAGGATTCGGTGTTCTATTGCAAGGATTTGTTGTCTATCAGATCTGATTTAATGGTTGGGATGATACTAAACATGTTGACATACTTCACAGACTTCCCGGAGCTTCGGTACCTCAAATCAACGATATGTTCTTTTACTCGGAACTTTCATCCAAGATGCGTAAAAAACCCGTAAGATTAGTTTTAATCCATGTGCAGTATTCATTATTATAGATTGGTATTTATGAAATTTTCAAGTCGTACGTATTCGAGTACGAAGTAAAAAAAATATCAACATCTGTTTAAAATGTCTCAATGTACTTTGTTAAAACTAAATTAACTTTAACTATGAATAAATGTAAAGAGTACAATGTAAATAATAATAATACATTTTGATTTCAAGACTATTTACCTTTCTTATGGATACATCGGAATCGGAAGACACGCCCGACATAGAAGTATCCGATATAAAAAACAGT